AATGACTAGTGGAGGGGATGACACACCCGTCTAGTGGAGGGGACCACCCACCCGTCTAGTGTCTAGTGGAGGGGACCACCCACCCCTCTGGTGTCCAGTGCAGGGGACCACCCACCCCTCTGGTGTCTACTGGAGGGGACCACCCACCCCTCTGGTGTCTACTGGAGGGGACCACCCACCTCTGTAGTGTCTGCTGTCGGTGATGACCCCCCTCCCTCAGGGTTTAGAGTTTCCACCAAACCAACCCTCAGGAGGTTGGTTTCGTGGAAACTAACCAGAAGCTGTCACTTGCCTTTAGGTAGTGACATACTTCCCTGCATGCCTTTCTTCACTGGGACATCGAGGGATTGGAATGAGTTTCTGAAAGCTCCTGGTCCCTAACCCTTGGTACAGTAGAATGAGACGTGGGACTCATGGTGTGATGCGGGCGTTGTGGTCACAGTGGTTTGGGATTCAGGCTGTGCAATCACACTGGCCCAGGCCTACCTTTGGTTTCCCCAGTGAGAGGGAGGGGACGGCCCTGACCCGCACCCTAATCACAGTTAAGCTGGAATGGTAATTGCTTTGCAGTGTGCTTAGACAGTATGTGGAGCGCAGGAATGGCTGCATAAATGTTAGCTATCAGTTGACTGTGACGTGAGAGAGAGATTGTTCTAGAAATAAGGAAAAAAGAATGAGTTTCAATTTTTTGTCAAATTTCTTAAGGAAATATATTCAATGAAATTATCTTCAAGTTGTGTTTATACTCAAAGATGTCACCAAGAGATAAGAATTGCAACTACAATATGTAGTATTTTAGCAAAACAATCATGTAATATTTTAAGGAAGTTTTGTAGAAGTGCCCAAATTATTAGGCAGTGAACCCCACTGAGTTCAAAGATTCCTTAGTTTTCTCTATGGATTGTTTAGAAAGATTAAAGAAGACCTCATTGGAACAAGCATTTAGTCAGCCTGTAGGACCACACTGGACACAGGAGCGAACATTTAGTCCTTAGGCAAATACTCACGTGCCTAGAGCTGTAGCATTCCATGGCTGCAACCCAAAGAATCACAGTGACCACTCGTGCCTCCGAGAGAAAGATACCCTGTCCCCAAAAGACAGCGTTTAAAAAGAAAAGCATAGGGAAGGGTTGTTTGGGAAAGATTACTGCTGGGGAGCAAGATAAATGCAAGGAGAGCAACAGTTCCAACAAATGAGAAAAAAAAAGCACAATTTCCACAAGGTTCTAGAACTAACTTTTTGAAAATAATTTAGGAAAGTGAAATTTACACAACGTAAAATTCTAAACCGTTCGGTGGAGGTCAGCACTTCACAGTGTGTGCAACCAGCACCTCTTTCTAGCTCAGATCATTTTCACCATTCCAAGTAAAAATGCCTGACCCGTGAAGCCGTTCGTCCACGTTCCACCCTCCCCTGCCCCCGGCAACCACTTATCTGCTCTCTGTCTCTATGGAATTATTTTTCTGGGCATTTCACACCAGTGGAGTCGCACCATATGTAGGTTTTTGTGTCTGATTTCTTTCACGAAGTGTAATGTTTGTGAACCTCACCTGCGTGGCAGCATCTGTGAGTAGTTGGTGTCTTTTCGTGGCTGTATGGCACTCCATTGTATGGATAGACCACAGCTTGTCTGTTCATCTGTTGATAGACATTTGGACCTTTTCTGTCTTTTGGCTTTTGTGGACTGTTGCTATGAACATGTGCTTACAAGTTTTGTGTGTGTCTTTCTCTTTGCGTTTCTCTTTCATATACCTCAGAGTGGAATTTCAAGATTCTGTCATTGTTCTGTGGGATTTTTTGACAAACCACCAGCCTATTCCACGGCAGCTGCACCATTTCCATTCCCACCAGCAGCGCGCAGGGTGCAGTTTCTCCACAGCCTCACCAACGCTTGTTCTTTTCTACTTTTTACATTGTTATTGTAGCCATCCCGGTAGGTGTGAACCATTATCTCATTGTAGTTTTAATTTTCATTGTATCTATTTATCTTTTGATCCATTATCTATTATTATTCCATTTATCTATGTTTTCTTTTGTTGCTCTTGCTCTCAGTGCCATATTTAAGAATCCATTGCCACATGCAAAGCCATGAAGGTTTACCCCAGTGTTTTCTCCTAAGCATGTG